GCTTTATTGATGGTTTTTTTTCTTTTAAATCGAATTCAAAAATCCAACTATGGTATTGTACTGATCTGAATGAATATAGTGATATTACCGTTAACAGTAATAACATTCTGAACAGACAAAATCGAGAAATTGAGAATAATTCTGATGGATTGCGTGAGTGTACGATAATATCATTCATTCGATGCACAAATATTACGATTAAAATATTCATTTGATGAACGATTTCTTGAAAATTTGACTGATCGTGAAAATACAGCACATAAATGTTCAAACAAGGTTGTCGTTGCAACGTCGATAGCATTTCATTCGTCTTTATTGTGACTGCGTTGAGCTGGAGGCGCTTACATTTTTGCATTTCTTGGTGAATGTTGATTCATTTAGATCAACATTTTAGAAATCGAAAACGAGAAAAAATTTTGTTGTATAATATTTCGAGTCCGTGATTTTGTTGCATAATATTGAAAAAATAATAATAATTCGCATTTATTGAGACAAATCGCTTTGTATTTCGAAAAAATTATTCTGGAGTGCTTTCGTTGTTTCCAAGCTGAATGTGGCGAAAAACATCACCGAACCAGTCATTACACTTGAAAATAGCTCCTGAAAACTTCAGTCTACAAAAAAAATCCTCTTTCCTGCAAACTGAAGAAAGTGTACTGCGTATTTTGACGACTATAAAATTATATTGCTTACTTCTTTCTTTTTTAGCATAACTTGCAAAGTTATATCCATTATGAATTGATTCGTACTCACACCAGCTGCGCAAATCATTACGGAATTCATCTCGCGGAATTGTCAGTCTCTTACCCCTCTCTCCAAAGATCAAATTCTCATTGTTGTCATTCAGTTTCCCTCGATCATCATATACTTAATTCTAATTTCAGTTCGCAACGCAGCCGCCTCACGACGAATCCAACCGATCACATTTGAAAATTATCAGGTGAGTGAATCTCGTTTGTGTCGTTTACTACAATGAGATTATTAAAATTTTTAATTTTTTGTGAATCACCACTGTACAATATCAACTGAACGAACACAATGCATTAGAAACTGACAGAAAAATGAACGAATTCAATCATTCAAATGATTAGACAAAACAGTACAGTGTGGGATACGTTAAAATATTTTAAACGGTTACTGTAAGATGTTTTAAATGTTTTTAAATGAACAAATCGTTACTGTAAGATCTATTAAAAATGTAAACAAAAAATTATTAATGTTCTCAACTTGCTTTCGAATACGGCCGAAGAGTCTACTCGAAAATTGAAATGCTTTCGGAAAGATGAGAATGCGAGTGAATTTTCGAAATGAATTTGAACTGATCAACATGCTCATCGACTGAAGTAGATCGATGATGGTTATTCATCGATTCTGTGCAGTTTCTGGCTCAGAAATGACATAGTCAAAATTTTATTCATAAACCTTTCTGAATTTTTCGTCGGAACTCGCTTCGTCTGAGCAATGATGGCAAATATAAAACGAATCAATTAGTGTGTAAGATTCGAAACGAAATTTTCGTTTTTGGATAATTAATAATAAAATTCCATATTTACGATGGATTCGTTCGTTCATAATGGGGTCATAAAAACAGTCATTTCGGTTCTAGTCACAAACCGTTTTTGACTATGTTCAATTGTTGAATAATCCATAGTTGTTTGCTACAAGTTTTTTCACCTATACAGAACACCGAATCTGCTCCACAATGCATTTGTTGTTTTATCAAAAGAAGGTTATCAATTAATCACTCATTCACGTGCTATACACTCCAATTCATTCGCAATTTGATCAAGTCAATATGTTTATGTTGAATCGGATGCTCCATCCATCCGAATGGATACCATAAGCGCACCGCAACTAAAACCGCAGCCAAACGGTAAGGTTCAACTGCGGTACGCTTATGTCATTCATCAATTTAAATAACCCTCGTGAAATTGTCTCCATCCGTAACCAACAATATCAGTAACAATAATCATATCAACTAATCCACAATAAACCCAACCGTATTAAACTTCAGCAGTCCCCGTCACCATCAATCGACAAGTGTGCATCAACTACTGGTTCACTCAATACATTCGCTTTACCAACTTCCCATTGTGAGTGTGTGTTTGCTTTTGTTTTTTTTACATCACTCGTATTTATATTACCGCTAGTATAAAAATTATTATTAATATTATTTGTTTAGGATTATCATCAATTGGTTTAAGTGATAAAATATATGAAGATTTGATGTCAAATGCCAATAAATTGATAACAAATTTGCACGCGTTCAATTGAGCTTATTGCTTATTGTTAGCCTATCTTAACGGACACCCTCTAAACTGTGACCGGGTGCCTTGGGGATGTGTGAGGTTTGCCGTAATGTTAAGCGAATTGCTTACTCTGTGCATTATACGCCCTTCTCTCTGCATGACTGCACCAGCATTTCTGCTGTAGTCAGCCGTTTCCTGCGTTTTCACACCGTGACGTATACTGTCCGAATTATGAATATTAACCACTTGATATTAGATATTAGCCAGTTCCAAGCCCATGGCAACCACTAAACATTCGATCGGTGCGCGTTGTGAACGGAAACGAACATTCAATTTGCTATTTTAGTATTGATGATTGATTCATATCTTCGTTGGTTTGGAAAATTTCGTTGAAACACGATTATCCATTGAAATTGGAGGCATCAATGGTCTGCAGTATAATCCTCGTTTTATATTACACTGATCATATGGATTCCACGTGTAGTTATTTCAAGAAAATTATCCGTAGTGCTGAAGAAGTTAATAAAGAACGGAAATGAAATCGAGAAGAATGAATAAGAATAAAGAATAAAATTTCAGTTCAGTCAAATTCATTGACACCCTCACTGAGATGTAAGAGTGAAGGCTCGTGTCGACCAGTGCAAAACAGTTCAATGAGTATTTCAAACTTCACCAGAGCTCGTTCGTCGAGCGATGTCTCACTTAATATGGCTCATTTCGATTCTCGACAACAATCCGCATCACGTATGTTCGTTTACTGCTTCAGACTATTTTTATTCGTTTCGTTTTTCTCTTTGTGTTGCTTCATTCTGCATTTCTTTATGTCATTCTTTATTCCTTTTCATGTATAATATTTCAAAACTTTCGAAGAATAATCCCTACTCCCCAAGCAGAGAAGGAAGTCTGTTCCTATCCGTTTAATATGTTAAAGCATCCGAAGAAGTTCTTTTTTTTTCGTAATTTCCAACGGTGAAATGAATTGAAAATATTTGCGTTGCATGGTTCTATCATTTTGTTTGCATTGGTTATAGTTAATTGTTCATATGTCTGTACTTTTTTATGTGTGAATAACGTTCGACATTTGTGGAGTGAAATATTTACGGGATATTGGTTGAATTGCTTTGAGAATTGCCTTTAAAGTACAGCTTGTATTCAGCAATCATGCAACGTAATCGTTTCCTCGTTATCATTCCTATTGCAGCATTATCTTAGAAGCGCTTTTTTTATCTCACTTGAAGTTTTTGTTTGCTCTTCCATAAGCTGTTTTGATGAGAAGAGCACTCGATCGTAACAACATCATAGCATTCGTCATTCGCATTATTCCATTTGGCTGTTGTTCGTAATAAATTGTAACACTTTGGAATTTCTAAGAAGGAACCGAACCGACATTTACAAGAGTATTTTAGCGAAACGTAAATTAGCTTGGTATGGTTTCTGGAGAGTTGATCTCAGATACGAAATAGCTCTTTGGAAGGTATGGCTGCGCATTCGTATGAGAGGTGGGGGGAGAGGGAAAANCATTTCATGTCTACGTTGATTTTGGTTGATATTTTATAGCGTGATTTTTATTTGTTACACGTAGATTATGTGAATGCTATTTATTATTCGTATATGCATTGAGTTTGCTGTTTATTTCTTTATGGTATAGTTTGTTAAAGGAAATTTTATTTGAATGCGGGTACGTGCTGAGTTTTCATGAACTTATTAATTGATTAGTATTTTTGTTCCACTTCATTGATATGTGCTTGAATCCAATGTTTATTTCTTCTCAATACTCAAAACTTTCAGAATCCGGGATTAGCGGCATATTGCAAAACAATTCTTCATATGTTCCAACTAATCAAAAGCCAACATTCTCTCTTGCGAACGGTTTGCATACAACAGGTACTGAATATTTTTATTTGTTTAAGCTGTTCAAACAGTTCCTTCATTTACACCTAACGAAGTGTTGATATCAATGTATTTATTCTTGTCTTATCATCACTTAACTTTTTCACTCTGTTAGCATTGAGTTACTATTACCTCTCAGAAAATATTTTTATTCGTTCAACAGGTCCAACGATCCACTGAAAGTACAACATGGTTGTTTGATTAGAAAAAAGGGCGTAGAAAGCTCGACAAGTTGACAACAGTCGTTTCAGGGTCTGTCAATGCTGCTGCAGTGTTACCTCCGTTTGAGCCAACTCAAACACCGCCACAAGCTGTCAGCGTTAACCCTCTGTTTCATTCATTGCAAAAACAGTTCGTTTCATTTTCAGTTGTTTGAGCCTTTTTGTTGTTGATGTTCGACTGCATTTGTTGCTTCATCGTCTCGTATGCACTTCAATCGGTTCCCACCAAACAAGATCGAATTTGAATCAAAGAGGTGCAATTGGGATTATTCAAGTTCTATATATTCGTTCACCTGAATGTCATATGAGATAGCTCACTCAGTGGTTCGTCGACGTTAATCAACGAATATTCCTCATTCATCCACTATCAAGATAAAACCAATGAAAAACGTATTCAATGCATTCACACTGACATTATTATTTATTTGATCGATACCGCGTAATGAATGATGCAGTGGATCGGAAGGAGCAGTGGTATATATGGAACATGGTTGGGTTTGCCATGGATATTCTCACTCATAATTAGAATGAGAATGGATGAGTTTAATGAAGAATCCATCATCCAGACTAAAAGTGAATGTGGAGAAAGTCCATTTGTAATGCAATTTGGTACTTTCGCTATGAAGAGGATGGCGATAATGAATATATTGTAGCTGTCATGCTTGAAGTAATATTGTTGCGTAACGCCGATATTGAATTGTCGAAGAATCGTTACCTTATTCAAGGAGCCAATCTGTAAGCAATTCGTCGAACTAACAGTCGAATCAGAAAAATTGTATTCATTGATGCATTCTAGAAGTGACTACTCAAATAACATTCCGATGATTGTCTTAGGTGAAGGCAGTCACAAGTTAATCACTCATCCATGTTTGTTTCATTCATTCTGTTTTTATTCATGGTACTCTCTTGTGTTTGATCTACCCGCCACTTAAGTTTGAGATGGTGCCATTAAAAAATTCATTTTTCTCATCTAATCTTAAACGAGTTCAAAAAAATTGTGCAAATATGAACGTCATTATTGGGCGAACTGTTCACAGTGTTTTTTTTCTCCTGTCTGTTCATATCGTTTCTCTTTGTCTCATAAAGCATCAAAACTTAACCTTACCGAGTGANTCTGATGCATTTTTATAATTCATAAATCACATCACAGCTCATCGCATTCGTCGATCACACGAACTGTTCTCATCGATTGCTATCGAATCCAGATCTAGTTAAAGCGCTTCAATCAGTCGCTCTGAAATCGGATTTCCATTTATTCATTACACACCGATTCAAAGTGGAATATTCACGAAGGAATTGAATTTCACTAATGAAAACACTGTGATACAGTATCGTCTTTTGAATAGAATTGTTATTTGCTCATCGTTATGTATAGTGCATGCTCTAGATACGGATGACTATGTTTATTCAACGTCTTAAAGAAAGTAATCAGTTAGCTGTGCTGCTGTTGGTGCCTTCAACGATCCTATACATTTATGATTATTATTGCATGTGTGTTTTGATGTATTCGTAAATGCTGATTGATGTTCAAACAAATATTTGGATTTTTGCGTAGAGGAGGGCTTAGGGAGTAATTGTCATGTTGTTAAGTGAGGCTGGAATGCAACGGAAATGGAGCTGAATAATTGTGTGTTTGATTCATCAAAACTTGTATACAGTATAACGTATAGCAGCAGCAGCAGAATCAGTTCAATTCAAAGTGTATTCAGTAACCTCTTTATATGCTGTCCTTCCTTCGTTCCTCTTGAGACATTTGTTCTTTTTCTTAATGTCCTTCTCGCAGTCAGTATTCATCAAACTCTATACGATTACAATAGTCTTCAGTCATTATCAGTGTGTGATTCACTTCACAGTCAAGTTATTATAATCTGTTTGTTCATCGACTTCAACCACTGCGAAAACAACTTTTTTGAATGCTTCTCACATTTATTTTATTTGCACACCTTGTGGCTTTTCGTTCAGTCGATCATTGAAGTCTTTTTTTTGTCAATTTATTGCTCTTGGAAATATTCATTTATTGATTCACTCTTCACGATCGATTTCGTTTCATTTCATACTGAACAGTCAACCAACCCACCATTGCGTCGTAGTTTTGGCTGAATATTCATCATCGATTCAGTTGGTTCATGCGATTCCATCTTGAATAATTTATGAACTGTTAAAAAAATGTTATTGCATCGCTGAAAAAAAAATTTTATTAATTCACAATAATGAAGTATTAATTTGGATTCGATTTGAAATTGTGTGATTTTTGTGTTATTTTCTGATAGGAAGTTCGATTCTCAATTTATTTCTCTTTTCATTGCATCAATTCTCTTTTCTCTTTTCATTTGTTCACTCGATGTTTCTCTTTTGTTTGAAAACGTCTCAATTTCATAAGGAAGACCAAAATTTTTTTGTGCAATCCAAAAGAATTTTTGTTTTTGTGATTCAACAGATGAAATGACATTTGTATGTGAGGGTGGAAATTCTCGTGTTGTGAGAGCAATGATTGATTGATTGTGTCTGGAAACATGCAACCGTGCGTTTGCATTCGAACATTTTCTGAAACGCATCAATCGTTGATATATTTTGGTGAATTAAATGTTTGATAATAATTGAGAGATTACAAACTTATTTTAATTGATTACGGCATCGAAATATATTCTGAAATGTTGTTCCGAGCCACTGAACGAAAATCTCAGCGAGAACGTCCTCATCGTTTTTTCCAGTTGTGAGATGTTGCGAGCAACATTGATCAACGTGATCAACGATGACATCTGAAGTAATCACCGTCATCATATTTGAACAGCGAACGCCACTGGACATCTTCTGAACCCATATCAACTCGGTCGTTTACTAACAAGACGAATAATCGTCGCATATAATCATCAATACTTGAGAGATTCCACTGTATCTATTCTATGCAGCTTATGCACAAACTCGAGAAATGTCCTCGAAACTGATCGATTCCTTCAACGCACCTCCACCACCCGTACCGTTTCTGATCTCGTCTCAGAATCGTACTGTTGATTCATTAGAGTCACAGTCTAGCAGTTCGTGCGCAGCACACGACGATCCACTGTCGTTAGTGGAAACACAACAGCAGCAAGGTGGTGGGTCAATCGCGTCGAATGACAGCAATAAAGCACGTTTTCATTTGCATAATTCAAGGAATGCAATTTTGAAGAATCAATCTGAAACAACGAACACTGCTGATACATCGCAATCGAATTTTGTCTCAGCGCATTCTTTCGTTCGCGTCGATCCGTCTCTATCATCATCATTACCACGACGTAATGAAGAGACGTTTCCATTATCGAACTGGGTCAACGATACAAAGTTGACATCGAGCATGCTAGCGAACAGTAGTCGACTGTGGTTGAATGAATACAATCACTCAACAACTGACCATCCTCATAGTGCACTAACGATTGCTGATAATCACCGTATCAGTGCAAATGATGCGTCGATATTGCAGTCGTTCGAAGGATGTTCTGCGACACGACGAGATATGATACTAGCATCAGAGCACGATGAAATGAAGTGTCTTCTTGATCAATCAAGGTTTGTTGAGCACAACACTCGATCGTATGCATTGTCACTGTGTTTTGCAGACATCGTGGTGAGTTGACGATTTTGGAGAAATATCGATATGATCTTAGTCGAGCGCAACTTAAGGCCAGCTCAAGAACATCGGCACTTTTGGCTGGTTTTGCAATGGTACGTCGTCATCAATTACATTTCTTTATCGTTTGTTTCGTTCATTGTCGCCTTGCACAGTGTCCTCACATGATTTCAGGAAATGATACTACCCCTTTGATTCATCAACNATGATGCATCACAAAATGCTTATAAGAAGAAGACAGATTTATTGCTTAACAACTTGAAACTATTCATAAAGATCAAAACTTTGAAATGATTAAGTGAGCAACGCAGATTTCAGGTAGCCTTAGTAGAGCTGCAATATGAGTCCACAACACCTCCATTTCTGCTGATATTGTTGGGTGTTGTGACCACTCTGCTTGTCTCAGTACATTTACTCGCGTTGATGATGTCCACTTGTATATTACCTTACATCGAAGCTAATGGATGTACACAAGACTCACCTCATATACGACTCAAGTACGATTAACGCTCTTCTTATTAACTTCGTCTTTTGGCTTTTCCTTACCGATATGCTACCTGATGTTATCACGAATGCATGTCAAATGATTGCAAAATATTCAAATCATATTCTAAAGATTTGAGTATTTCATGTAACTTTTTTGATCAATAGCTAAATTGCGAAACACGAAAAAGCTCTTCAAAATGAGAAATTCGCTGATCGTGAGATAAATTGTTTCATTTGACATTCGAGACAATAAAACATTCAAGTTGAATCACTTATTTATTTCAGGTTCTACATTGATCTGTCATGGTTGTTCAGCACTTGTATTGGATTGGTATTATTTTTGGTTGAAATTGGAGTCATCTTCTTTGTGAAATTCAACGCGGTCAATTACGAAACTGCTGCTTATATTACAACCGCTATGTTAAGTAAGTGATTCCTTTTTCCGAGTAAAAATCATTCATCCTATCAAGTAGACATACAGATGGTTTGTTTAATGCTGGTTGATGCTGAATGTAAGGAATGAATTGTGAGTGACAGAACGTGTTTGGGGGTGATTCATTGATTCAGTTATTGGAATGACAACTCGAGATTCATGATCTTATATCGATGCATCGGTGATAATTGCAACTCGGTTAATGCTGATAGTAGTAATCACGCTCTTATTTTAAGCAATGATGATTTTTCGATCAGAAATAAAATGTGATTACAGTAAAAGCACAATCGAATGATAACTTTCAGTACCAGTGCTGATAATCTTCACAGTATTTTCGTGTTTAATCCATAAGAATCGATTTATACATTCAATGGATCGAGTGGACACGAAGGTGAACGATCTGCAGAAATTTTTAAACGACAACGAATCATCAGTAGCACTACAGAAGATAGCAACATCCGTGCCACGTCATCCTATGATTGGTTCGGATTTACAGGAGGTCACGGTTGTTACTTGATTGAATAATATTATGTTATATGGTGCTGTTATTTTATTGTGTACAGTAAAAATATTGGTATTGTATAATAATATTATCAAGTTGTTGTCTTTGCTACTGCGATTTCTATTTTATTTGCGTTTGCGTTCATATATTCTAAGGAAAAGATTTGATTGTTTTCATTATTTGTTCGTTTTACTTTTATTTGATTGTTGATAATATATCTGATGGGATGGATCACTTACCATTGACTGCTTCTGTTTTATGCGATTCTTTCATTCAAATTGCTATCATTATCAATTTCGTAATTTGATGTATTGTATCTGCTTTATGCATAACATCACTAAGTTGTCTTCATTCATTGTATATCTAGCAAGAAGCTTCAGATTTTGCACTTCTGTTCATTTGGCTATCTTTCTTGATCGTTGACGTTCTGCTTACAATTAACATTTTAAAAATTTTATCAAATTTATAATCAAATTGGATCTGAACCATATTATTCGTATGCAAAATTGAGCAATAGTTCATTCAGTGTCGGTAATCATAACAGAACAAGTGTATTTGTTCAGTGAGTGAGTTATAATAAGCGTCATATGAAGCTATTTACCTGACTCAAAATAACTTGCTAATCAGCCATAATATGCGAATTTATAATAGCCGATTAGAGATATTCACGGAGTGTCTGCTCTATCAATCCTCCCTGATCATTCTTCCCCCTTTTCAGAGTTGATATTCGATGAGCTGACTTTTGATTTTGAATGATAATTTTATGCCACTTTACATTTTCACAATAATTTTTTCTGCTCTCTCATCCTTTATTGGTTTTTGTTTCAAATACTTGGTTATGAATTTAGAGAGAGACCAATTTATCTTCAATGAATTCTTGTTTATTTTTTTGTGATCGTTTGAGATTTTCGATCTTCTCGAACGGTTCAAATTTTTGCTCTCATTCAATATCATCTTACCTCTTTTTGTGCTGTAACGTGTGGATGTACCAAACTACGGACGGTATTATGCATGAATTTATTTGCTTGTCGTTCGTGAACATTATTCAGCGAACTGAACACTTTTTTGAGTTTTTGTTGTTGTAAAAGGATGGTTGTTCAGTGCTTTACATATTACTGTTTAATTTCTTGTATTGACTGTGATTTTACTCGGTGTAATTTGTAAATTTGATAGAATTAATTAACTGATTAGTTATTGTGACTACTTGAATTGATAAATCATAAAAAATATTGAAATAGAGACGTTGTGAAAAGTGAAAGTTTAAAATGTTTGATTGATAGAAGAGGATGCAGCATGTTCACATAGAGAAGAAGGTTGTCACATGATCGGAGTGGAACTGAAGAGTTCACGTTGGATCAGAATTGAATTTTTTTTTGTTTGTTTGCTGTGACAACATCTAAACGGGAAAAGACGAGAGTAAAAATAGAAAAAAAAGTCGATAAAATACCAGGTCAGAGTAAGGCTGAAGTTCATATACCATTTCAGTCGGTCATGCCTGTTACGATCGTCTGGAACAATTAGTGGTAAGCTTTTTATAACTTCGATAATATAGCACTGGAACGAAGTTTTGTTTGGCAACACCGGTTACAGAATCAAGTTTTTCAACTTTTTTTGGATAATTTCATGCGTCAACTCAGTCACTTCACGATTGTTTTTCTATGAAGTTGTGTGGTTCCTTGAATGATATGCTAATTAAGAAAAATGATTTGTGTTATGGGTTGTCGTCATTCGATCACTGATCACTGGCAAACACTATAAATCGTTCACGCAATGACAGACAACATTTTACTGCTGCAAACTGAAGAGGACAATCACAGAACGAGCAAAGGACATATTAGTGCAAATGTTAAAGGAGAGCAAAAATTCAAGTGCGTTCAGCTCGTATCAGCTGACGAGCAATAAGCATGTGAATAGTGGTGTGAGTTTGGTATCTCTCAGAATATTGAGTTGTGATTTTGATAGTTTAGTTGAGAATATACACACATGAATTGTCACTGATTAGAAGAGTGGCACAACATAAAGCATTATCACCTTTGAGTTGAAAATGTTGTTTATCTAATAAACTGGAACTAATCCACCAGCAGCATCAGCATCAGCATTTAATCGAGTGGAACTATAATGAAATGTTACTCATCATCGAAAAACGATCACTGATATTGATTGTGAGTTATTTTCATGGTTTTCACTCGCTTTTTCATTTCAACCGTTATTCATTTTGTTTACGACTCACTGAACGGAAAAGCTTTCATGAACTGATTGAATGCGATAATTTTCATAATGCGTTAGCACCACACGATTGATTTTTGCTCGAAATGAAACTGGTTGGTGTTATTGCGATTCGCTAATTTTCGCTGAAATAATAAGGTGTTATCTTTTTTGGACACGCACAAAGCAATTGTCCAGAACAAACTGGTTTTGTAGTCAATGTATTAAAAGCTTATGAATTATTTATTGAATGTTTTCGATCAGATTAGATGAGCACGGATAGTTGATGTAATCAGCATACGATCAGTTTTCATTCTTGAGATGAAATTTGCTGATGACTGTATGAGATACTGACTGCATTCTGAACGGATTGATCGGTACGATATTGCTGTTGTTGTAGAAGTACTCACCTATATAACCCACTGCGACGTTCGTAATCGAATTCAAAACTGTTCACCCGAAACAATTCACTGTTGGATTTCAAACGGTAAATATTCATAGCTGATATCGGGTTGCGAAGTACATTTGTTTTCAATCAACCACAAATCAACGACAACCAAATTGCAATCTGAAGGAGTTGCGGACTCGTTAGATCTGAGAGTGATGGTATGATTGAGAAGAATATACCGTGCATGATTATTGACCATTGGGTTTGAACTCGCTTTTCATCTGTTATTCTGATTTGATGCATGAGAACGAATGAGAGAGACACTGAACACAGTTTCTGCATGAATGACGAGACGAGATACCCAGTGATTAATTTGTTGTACTTGGATCTGATTGCAGTGTCGTCAACGTTTCATGAATAGTTAGCACTGTGAGGGGTAGATCAGCTGAAAACTCTACACGATCTAGCGTTCACATCAAGCTTGATGAGAGGCTTCTGAATGCCCAATTAGGGTGGAGGGATCTTACCCCTGCCTATCTTTTTTGTAGATGCTCAGAAAGCCGATAAAGCCCACTTTTTTAGAGTCACAGATCCGACCCTCATTCTGTCATTCCTGTCATTACTGTTGTGTCCAATCGTCAAGCAAGGTTGGATGCGCAACGTTGAGGTTCGCCTAGTTTGGAAATAAGACAGCGAAACGTGTGCGATAACGATTCCTGAATTGATCACAAAAAATTCTGTTGTTTGATGCTCCGTTCCGCAGTGCAGTTCCATCATTGCTATGTCCCAAGGTGATTGAATTGCCCGTTTTCGCAGAAAAAAGATTGGAAATAACACCAATGAGATTGAATTCCAAATTTTTGGAAACTTATAAACTAGGCGGCTTTCCTAGTTTATAGTTTATATAAATATAAACTAGAAACTAGGAAACTTATTTTTCTTTGTGATAAAGTGTAAAATTCCAATTGCATCCGAACCCATTTCGCTCGCGCAATTCTGTA